GCTTTAAGTTTCTAAACGCTTTTAGTAGGACAGTAGCTACACTTTTAATAGAGTTTTGGATACCTTAGAAAGCTTTATCGCCGGTCATAGTTAAAAGCTTAAAGGTAAGTTTTTCTTTGACAATATATGCTGATAATAATAGCTTCATGTGCATGCAGTACTTCCTGTAAGAAAATCTCGAGCACGTTTAGATGTAGATGGCACTCTTGCCATCACTGCTCAATGGCGCCAGTGCTTACCAATGTTTCAATGGGAATAAGTAGAGACAATAATAGAATTTAATTTGATTTGTACGAAAATTTGCCGCTGGTGGGCGTTGATAAATACTATCCGAGCTACATATCATATATTCCTATTACTTTTAAGCGAGCACAAATTTTCGCGAAGCATGTTTAGTTTCTCTCCCTCAAATTTGATTTAAGGGCTTTGCAGAAAGTATTTCATATGAATAAAACCAGGTGCCGCTATATGAAGTTGAAAGTTTTGGAGGCTCTGTAAAGTTTCTATAAAGTTTTAGCCTTATATAAAGAATAAACAGCATAAATCCAAATTACTACATTTTCCACCTTTTATTTGTTAACAGTGATTCAAAGTTATAAGTTCCAGTCATCATTGCTAAAGATAAACAAAAAGCTCACGAAAAAGCTTGAAAGGCTCTCGGAGAGCTATTACGCATATCGAGAACACAAAAATCTGTTTAACTTCATAAGAAATATAAAAAATAAAGCAACATAAAAAGTTAACCACAACTTCTCATTAGCGCCTTCTCAAAAGCTGCTTACTCATTCCTTTTTTCAATCGCTCCCCGTCAACTGGCTATTTCGGAACTATTGCCTGCATATACTCATATACATATACAATGCTATTCGACTTATAATCGTTCTACATTTGATAGCAGTAAATTTTGAGAGTGACCAAAATGCTCCTAGCAAAATTACAGCTGCGGAAAAGCCAGCGCCAAAAGCTGGCTGTGGTGGTGGCGACGAAATTGAGTGATCAAAATTAATGAAGCACACATTTATGCGGTGGACAAATTACATGTATGCTCATGCAGCCACACACACACAATACATGCGCGTACATGTGTGTGATTTATTCGAAATGAGCATACAAACTCAATTGATTTCATATGCACACACACAAAAGTGTGCAATTTCATGCATGTGTTGGTGTAGAGCGTAAATGCGAATTTAGAAATGTGTCGATGCCATGACTGGCTCCGAAAGTCATTAAAAATTCACAAAACAAACATAACGCCTGAACTTCGCAATGAGCGCACCACCTAGTCCACAAACACACACACATACATACACATTTATACTCATACTTCCACGCATAAATAATAAAGCCGGTTAGTGTGAGCTTTATAGGATTGAACTCGGCGTTTTGTATTTCCTGTCATTATTTGTGTGTATGCTTGTGCATTTGTATGTTTTGATATCTGCTTACGGTATGTTAGTATTTTCAGTAGATTTTCAAAACCGACTTCGGCAGCTTATACACTCATTAAATTGTGTGTAGATGAATGCGTGTTTGCATTGCGTTTGCATCAACAATTACTTTTTGTTTCAGGTTATTGGCATTTCCAAACACACGCACACACACAACCACAAATACACGCACTTCCTTCTCACTCTTTTTTTCGTTTCTCTCTGTTGCAGTCTAATGAATATTATCTGAGGTCATTATGCGCAATGATGCGCTATTAGCCGCAACAAACAGCCAAACATTCAGAAGTTGCGGAAAGCGTGCTTTTAGGCGCTCTGTGCATTACGTTCGAGTGATTTCCAATAATGGCAGACATCAAATGAATGCCCACAACAACAAATGCAAATGCAATCGCAATTCAAACTAGTGGCACACATATGAAGTAGTGAATATAGTTCTATGCGCAGTTTAAGGCTTGCGGCATTTGGCCTTAAACTGAACTAGTTACTTGGAAGTTGATTGAAGTTTTACTTAGCAGTTGCGTACAATTGTAGCAATGTAAAAATAATTTTCTTCATCTGGTTAATATTTGAGAACGTAGAGACTTATGACCTAGAAAGCTTTTGGTATTGAAATAACGCTTGACTGCCTATAAAAAGTGCTAACAATTGAAAAGCAGAGAGGATTTACTACTATGTTTAAAATTATTTCGTGCTGGCTACAATAACGCGCCAAATATTCCAAAAATTGTGCAATAGTGTTAAATCTCAAGTTTTTGAAGGCCACCTAGTATAAAGGATAATTTTCTCATCAAAAGTTTCGATATATTGATTGTATCGATGCATGTATGGACCCCTGTGAAGGACCCAAGTATCGTCCACATCAACATTCTCCAATTCAGACACGAAAAAAACATTAACCTTGCTTATACAGCGTTGGCCATAATATTTAAGTGGCATTTTGGTGGGCTTTCCTTTTAAAGAAGGGTGGACTAATTAATTAAAGCACATTAAAAAGTGAATTTTAAAGGATCTAACGGCGTCTCACCAATGCCTTATGAACTCCGATCACTTTAAATGCGACAATTACTTTGGTAATCAATTTGAACGATTATTAAGGGAATGTAAATCAAGACACAGCTGTGCATATAAATACCGTCTACTTATCAAACTGGAAAGTTTAGTGAATTATGGAATATTCTTATAAAACTTTGTCTGCGCTCTTAACTACATTTGTTATTAGTGATGGTTCAAAATTTGGTCTTCGTGAACCAATTTTGCAATTTCCATCAAATAAAATGTTGTCAAGCAGAGCAAGGGATTCGATATGAATTTGAGTTTAAATGAAAAACGAAAGTCTCGAATGATGCTAAGTTCAATCCGAGCTACCGACACATTTTATGCGGATTTAGGTACATACATATATAGAGGATAAAAAGGATGATAAGAAAAAAGAGTATATTTTTGGTCGGATCAAAGTATGATCAATGCATTTATTATACTCTGGAGTATTTGCGATACACAAAACAAATACAGTAACGCATTATATTTTTGTTGTCTTTTTGTTGTAATTTATGCGATTAGTTATAAAGTGTTGAAATATCTCACAGCAAGAAGAAATAGCTTCTGTCTTTGTTTTGTATTAGAGAACTGAGCTTCAGCTATGACTTTCAACATGAAAAATTTTAGAGTTGCCTTAAGGAAAGATATAGTTTAATGAAGGCACAAATAAGTTATGTTTTACGCACAAGTATGCTGAACTGAATTTGTTGGATTCACTATTCACTATCAAATTTAGTACAGCTCGCGAATCGTACTTATGTTCTCGTTTGGAGCAAAACAATCCTGTTACCTTTCTGCCACTCTGCCATAAAACAAAAAACAAAAAAAAAAAAACAAGATATAAAAAAAAAAAAAAAATACATTTCCCCTCTATGGTTTTCGTTATTATAGATTTCTCCTATTATTACACATCATACCTCTCGAAATATTATATCCCCATATTAGTCCTTAAGTCCTTGCATCCAAACCCCGCAAGAGAAATATCTCTAAAATAGAGACCAAAATGTTGCAACGCATGCGCCGTCACCAACAGGCTCGCCACATCTCGCGGCAGGAAAACTGTGTCGCTGCTAACAGTTGGTGCAAACACGACTCGTGCACAGCAGTTGCCAACACGAGTTCAACCTTCCGAACTCTCGGCAATTTCAATGGACTGCCGTCAGTTGATGTTCGATATTTGTGTTGTTTGGTATGGATGTACACATACCGACGGCGGTACGCGTAGCGCAACGACGGCGCATAGTAATTTCTTGTGATTTTAAGCGAAATAACGGTTTATGGCAAATAAATTTGCATGCGATTTGCAATTTAAAGTGCAATTTGTGTTGTGCGCATAAAAAAATCGAATGGTCCTCTAATAAGTTGTCAAAAGTGTTTGATCTGCATTAAACCAAAAGTGCTTAAATCTAAGTGAAAGCCGAATCCGAGTAGTTTTAAGGCAAATAAAGCTGCGCTAAGATTACGTGAAATGTCCAGCAGTTCGTCAATTGTTTGTGAATGCGCAACGTTAAAGCGAGCAGTGAAGCTGTGCGGCGTTAATTGCTTTTGTCAGTTGTGAACTACCGAATTGTTGTTGTCTATACCATATATAATCCACCATTCACTTTGACAGTTTGCATTGCAGCAACAACTATATAATAACAGTAGTTGCTAAAATTTCATGCTGTCAGCACTTTAAATGTGTGACATTTGTGCAATTCTGTGGAACTCAAATGCAGGCATAGCAGCAGCAATTGTTCTGCATGCAGACCTACAGTGCGTATGAGTGCTCGGCAGTTGCGTGCATTTTGGCCAGCTACAGTAACATAGAAATCAATTAAGCTTGTATGAGTTGGTGTGCTGTTGTTGCTATGAAAGGCCGAAGCAGCTGTAAGAGTTCAGTGTTGAGATGTAAGAGATGTTGTGTCCAAGGTAGGAAGAGCTCTCCAATTAAAGCGTGAACGTGTGTAGTTGCGTGCTTCCGTTTTGGCCTGTGCAAGGCGCCACTATGTCGTCCTTGCATTGTCACACGTAAACTGGCAACTGCCTGAAAGGCTAAGTTTGTGTCGCAGTTGTTATTTGTGTCGGTTTAAGTGTAGTTCGGTCGGTTTGCCGGTGGCGCTGTTGCCAACTTAGTTACTATTGGTGTTTCAATGCATACATATACGTATATATGTTTAAAGTGTTGGTGTGCGTATAATCAACGTCTCCTGCCTTCTAGCTAACAGCGCTATCTGTGTCACTTGGCAGTTAAAGTGCATGAACAAGTTCTATCGCAGCGCCGTAACAAATTCATCCGGGAATTACAACACTCAACTTAGCCCAATACGGAACGTAATAGACATATTTGTGCGTGTACAGCAATGCAAACTTGTAACATGTGCAAGTGAAAGGCGCGGCAGCCTCAAAAATAGTAAAAATCTTCCGAAAAACGCAACTTAACGAGGTTTATTGTGATAATTGTCGCAGTTATATACCTTTTTTCGATATTTGGCATTGGCATTGACAGATGTTTGCTGCCATAAATTACGTGCCCTGCATAATCATCGCGCTTCCACAACAAAAAGGTGAAGCAAAGCCAAAATAATCAGAAACCGTATATACATACATACGTATATACCCAAGTGAGGAAATGTGAAAATGTGTAGAAAGTGGAATGAAAGAGCTGTTGGTATGTGCAGTAAAGGCAAGGCCAGCATATCAAAAATATAAAAATTGAGGCAAAAGAATTTTAAAACGCAAAAGCTCAGCAAATTAAAGCTGACACAAACGCCCTTTGCCCAGCTGCAGTTTCAAATGCGAGGATATAAGCCTCTAGCCCCTACCAATGTTGGCGCTAAAAACGTGGCGCGAATAAGTGACGTGTAATTTCATTAAATTTAATACAAGTGGAAGGGAAGTAAAGCAAGTTGACAACAAGCGAGTTCTGCAGAAATAAATGTAGCGGCCGCAGAGAAAATGCTTGCTTATATAAAAGCGCGGTGTTCTATTGAAATGCTGAAGTAGACATCCATTTGAAAATTAAACAGGTAAAGACATGCCAAGACGCCTTGTAAATTTTCAAATATAATCACAACTTCAGATATAATATCTTAAACTTTACTTGCTATGACAGGTAGCCACCAATAAGAAATACTAGAGAAAGGTATTCTCTTTTATATCATAGACTTCATAATTATATCTTGAACATGGCATATTTTGTATGCCACGAAGTTTGCAACACTATGAAGGAAAGGCTTAAGAACTTATACATATGTATATAAATAATTATTCGATTTCTTCCCGGAGTTTCTGAGATATGGATCTGAAAATTTGTACATTTATTTTCCTCTCAAAAAGCTGTTCCTTTCGCGGAGCCGCCGATATCAAACTGAATGATCAGAATCAAGTGCTATAGATATATCTTCAACAAATTTTGTATTATTTAAGGCAATGGTGCAATCTTCGAAAAAATTATTCAGTTTGAGTAAAAATACATTTTCGCAATCCGACCAATTGGTATCACTTGTTTGTATTTGTATTGGCGACATTTGGCGCGATATCTTTACCAAATTTGGTTTGAGTTATTGAGGCAAACCAAAAATAAAAAAAAACAGAGCAGGTGGTATGAGAACTCATGGTACCATGCCTGAGAAATACCCGCTGAAATTCTTGTTTCAGCTAAACTTTTATTTAAGGAATCATGTTAGTGTGACTCCCCGAAAAATTACTGTTTTTAGCGATTTTTTTAATGTTTCTTTTATAAAAAATACAATAAATTAGTTATATCCCAAGTACCAATATGAAACATATTAGAACAGCTTTAAAAAAGTGTAGTATGTATAAATGTAATTTCTAAACAAGATTATTTTATAGATAGTAATAATTTAGTCGGTTGAAAGAGGTTATACTGTGTGCGAACATAAGACAGAT